GCACGTTGTCAAGGCGACTTCATGTACAATATGTGTATGTATGTATGTATGTATATATATAACACATACATATATGTAGACACAAGACAGACGTATAGATAGTCCTGTATACATATGTGTGTGTGCTCGCACACATACGCGTATCAGTGTGTCATGAGTGAGCGAGCGAGCGAGTGAGTGAGTGTGTAAGACCTGGTGCACAGCGGCGGATGCCAATAGAGAGACATCCCTGTTTGGGGTGTTGCTCTTTCTCAGCTGTTCTTCCGGAGTCGTGCAGGAAGCTGGGGACATGGGGGGAGGGCGACACCTGGGTCCACGTTTTGGCATGTTTATCTGCAGTTGTGTTGCTGACCCTTTTTGTTCTCTCCTGGCTGGGGCAGTAGGCCGAAGCCGTGTCTCTACGGCTCAGTCCAATCCAAAACGGGGTGCACACTGGTGCAGGGAGGGGGGGCAAACCCTTCTTCTAGCCTCTCACAAAGAAAGAAATAGACAGAGCACATAGTGACTATAGTGAGATGGAGAAATAGAGAGATACATGACTGATTCATGGATAGACCGGGCCTGACACCAAGAGCCAATTGACCGAAGTGAGTCCTCACTTCAAGGTGGACATGCCAAGATCTCGGAGTACCTCCACTTGTTTGGCTCGCCATTGAATGCCTCGACGATGGACTGGGGTATTGGCATCAGGGGTGGATTGGGGCCTTTTGCATTGTTCGGGGTGCTGGTTCAGAACGAACATTGTGCATGGCTGGATGCATGCATTCCCAGGTGTCATACAGTGCTATCGAGCATTCGCATGGACGTAACTGCGAAGGCCGACCAGAGGATCCAGTTTGGAAGCCTGAATCGTTCTGTGATGTTCTGTGTCAGAGCTGTTTTGAGATGCCGCCATGACGTTTCTCAATAAGGGCGCACGTTTCAAAATGACTTTTCCTGGCTTGCCTTTTGTGAATGTATACGCTGTTCACAGTTATATTGAACACATGAGAGTTGCTGCCTGCCGCAGGATCAGAGGTGACATGCGGCAGGCTTTTTTTCAGCAAATTATTGTCACATCCCGGCGAAAGTGGAAGCTAGAGCCATGCCTGTGCTGCAGGATGGCCTCACACCGTTGCATTTCGCAGCCTGCAACGGACACATCGAGGCCAAGTTGACCGTAGCCTCCTCGGTTTCCTGGCTGTTTCTCTGTTCCGATAAGAAAGGCTCTTCGGCTTTGGCTTCAAAAGCTTGGAGAGTGTGCACTTGGTGTGGCGTACATAGGTTTGAGGCGTGGTCCACCTGCTCAGATAGTCTGCTTTTGCCCGAAGCCTCGCCATGAAGCCACTGTAGAACATGACTGCCTGATGCCTGATCGCTGCGATGTCCAAGGACGGTTTGTAGGGAAGCTTCACGGAACGCCGAGACATACCAGTAGTAGGCATCACGGTGCAGTGCCTTGGGAGTGAGATCTCTGCATAGATTCTCTTTGCCATGACCCCACCGATCCAGCACCTTAACTTTACAATGCTTCCGACAGCAGTACTCCATCTTCTGGGGAGTGTTTAGAGAGCGCCGCGGCTTCTTTGCCCGCAACCTTGCCATGTATGTAGCGCTGCGACGGAGGCTGAGCCTTGGGAGAAGTCTTGAAGCGCTTTGAGGGGGGTTTGGCTATGTTTGGCTTTGAGGAAACTTTCCTAGCAAGCCGAGGACCGCAACTCCAGCAGCTCCGTGGCATCCACCGACTTTTTCTGCTTCGCTAGGATTTTGAGGAAAGGGCGGATCGCACATGGTGGGTTGCTTTGTATGATGCACTTAAATTTGCCTTCCTTGTGCTTCCTTGAGACGTGGGCAAGCTGCTGTTGCTGCATAGGAAGGAGTCGGAGACATCCCAATGTCTTTGGTGTGTCCCAGTCGGCCTCAGGGAGGCCCCGACAGTTGCATGAAGAGAGCCAGATATATATTGGGAGTTTCCGAAAATGAGGGGTACTTTATTTTGGGGCTCCTTAGAATAAGGATCCTATTATTTGGGGAACTGTATTAGGGTCCCCTATTTTCGGAAACCCCCATATCTCATAGGGGACCCTAATATAGCACCCCAAATAGTAGGATCCTTATTTTAAGGACCCCAAAATAAGGTACCCCTTATTTTCGGAAACATATGCGCAGAAAAGCGGCTGCCATCGCAGGACGAGCTGCCATGAGCAGCGGAAGAGCTCCAGAATGCTGGCTGCACGGCGTGCACTTGCCGCCAAAGGCTCCTGCTCATACCCGGGTTTAGGGATACCCTGCCTTCGGGCCGCGGTTTAGGGTTTAGGGTTTTAGGGTTTAGGGTCGCATGCTCTGGGCCACAGGAATTTGGGTCGTAGGCAAGCGTGCTGTGGGGTCTTCTTGCCTGGGAGGCGTCGTGGCCGCAAGAATGGCTTCCTGGCATGAAGGGGGTTACAGTTTTCGGATCGGCTACAGAAAGCTCGAAGGCTAAAGTTTGGTAAAGGTGTCTCTTCCGGTGCGAAATCGAGCTTATGGAAAACCCTCACGTCCTTCTGTTGCGTGTATGTTAGGGCAACACAAACAAACGAATCAAAGAGAATGCGTATTCTGCTTAAACTAAACTTAACTAAATTAAAACGAAACGAAAACAAGCTTGAGGAGGAGGTGTCTAGCTTATTAAGATTGACCATTTAAACTTATGTCTCCACTTTTGGAGCTTGAGAAAATAGTCGATGCGCAAGAACAACAAAACTCCAGGACCGGATGGATGCCGAGCAGAGCTAGTGAAATGGCTTTCCGTTACAAATCGAAATTCCTTTTTATCGTTGGCAATACAAGATAACTGGAAGCAAAGCGAAGATCTGATGTCTTCCGAGGCGAGGAGACTTTGCACCTGGCTCGCAGGACTTCCTGAGGGCCTCCCGGCAGAACAGCAGCAACTTACTGGAAACGGATTTTGTGCTTGATCTTGCCTCACCACGAAAAACTGCTTGGCGGTGCTGCTCCTGCTGGTGTCGTGAAGAGGACTGGCCGTCGAAGTTGTGTGTCGTTGTCGTTGTTGTTGTTGTAAGCCGCTACGCATCAGACTGGCAGGGTAGCTCGTGTCGCTTTCGAACGGGCCTTGGGTTCCCACTGCGCTAGAGGCCCCCACCTGGCCCTTCTTAAGGTGAGTTGGCCCCACTTTTGAG